TTACACACACGCGTGGATGGACATAAACGAAAGGCATCTTCAATATATAAACACTACCACGAACGGCACAGCGAAGTCCCGAAAGACCCACTGAAACGTTTTAGCATTCTAAAAAAGTGTAGTAACAAGTTCGATTGTTTGGTGAACGAAATGCTTTTCATCAGAGACTTAAAACCCACTCTGAACGTGCAAAGCGATTCAACTCGCGCAAAAGTATTTGTTTAATTAGCTCGTAACATATTTATGCTAATTTAGTGCTACACCTTGCCACAAACTTCATTTTTATTTCCCCTTGACAATGGCGTCATGATGACACCGAAACGTCGGTTTTTATCGTTAGTTTTTTCTAGTCTTTGAAATTATATTTTTATCGTAAATTGCATTTATTAACCTTTGTTTTGATGCATAGTTTGTTAGGGTTTTCTTTAAACTAGCGCGCGTACGAATTTTCTCCCGAAGGATATCCGCGAAGGTAGGAGGTACTCGAGGTAACCTTAATTTTTGGGCTTTCAGGGTGGGCGCTTATTTGAGACTGGGCGCTTATGGTGACCCATTCTCCCTGAGGTCATACCGCTGACAAACGCCAAGATGCCCCTAGGCTCGAGATTGAACTATCCCACGCCGGAAAAGGTCCTTGAGGTTAAAAGTAAGAGAATAGAGCCTTTGTCTTAAAACGAATCAACCGCAATGTCATTCAAATTTTTACTTTGCCATCAAGGTCGTAATTTTGCATCTTAGATTTACCGGCTTCGTGCACGCCTTCAGCCTTATCTTTTTCTCCCTTCAATGTTTTTTTAATTTTTATCAAGCACAGCGTGTTCCAACTTGATGTGACACTTAGTTATGGCTTTGAGAAGAAACCAGCAGCTACAGCCACAATGGTACGCGTGTGTCGAGAATGGCAGTCCTTTTAGAAGTTGCTTAACGGGTATGTAGTGGAATACATCGCATAAACAATCAATTTTTGTTACATGATGACCCATCTATGCTTTTGAAATGATACCGGTTGCTACGTTGTTTACAAGGCAAGAGTCGAGAGTCGGGTAAGTACGTGACTAAATTCAGCTGAATTTTATAAGTTCACAGTTCAACTTATGTTACAAGTAAACTAGTGCTACGTATTCTTATTACAGTATCATACATTCCAAGCAAAGGTTTTGATTACCCTCCTGTCCAATAGCCAAAGGGGTTTTGAGCGGAGTTACGCGAAACAATTCCATGTTTGAATAAATTTGGCCCCAGCGTTTCATTATTCAATAACTATTTACAATCAGGCTTGTTTACTGGAGGTTTGAGATGGATCAAAGTCGAACGCAGCTCCTATAAGGATTTCGAAAATTTTTCTTTATGAAGTTCCCTGTGAAATGTGTCACTACGTTCCGAAAGTAAAGATGACCCATGATCTGACCTTGAACTGAGTTCGCTTGCAAACGAGGATACGTTCTTAATTTACTTTGATTTGGAGTCTGGCCCAGATAAAACGCCGAAGTTTTTCTAGGACACGGAGAGGCTAATCAACTACTTTAACCAAGTACATCAAAAGATCGATTTTTAACTCTGTCATGTTTGTTCGTTCCGAAGATTACCTTTTTCTTGGATTAAAAATTAAAACTAATTTTAAAAAGTAACTGGCGTGACCAAGCAACTATCGTTATGCATTGTTTGCGGTATTATTTTTCACCACATTTCTTATGCAATAAACAATTTAAAAAGAAAGCTCCTAACTGGTTCAAGGCCTTTTCTTGTTATTTCCATAATATTAGGTAAATCTTAGTCAGTAGGGCTTGTTTTGTCCCTGTGAAAAAGGTTATTCACTTGAAAAACGAGTGTAAGGGTGGCCCCTTATTTTTTATCAAGGTGAGAATTAAGTACAGTGATCTACGTATGCTGTTCGACGGTGAAACCAAAAGTTGACCTTTTCATTTGCCAAATATTGTTTATAAATTATTGTAATTCATTGTGAGGTCCAAACAATGGATGCAAGTTCAGGATCTCAACCACTGAACTTTATCATTTGGTTAGAGCCAATTGAAAGACAAATTACCAGATGAAGTAAAAGGAAAGAAACATAGAAATGTAATGCCACATTAGCCATGATGTGTGGAGGTTATGATTTTGATGGATGTTCATTCATTTATCTCATGCATTATGAAGAATTGAAACAACTTAGAAGGCAGATATGTTTCTGTACTTTCCATTTTGTATTTATTCGCTCAGGAGAAAAGGCACAGAGATTTTAGCAATCTGTGGTAATTTAACCATATTGCATAGCCAAGTTATAAAGGAAAAGAGCTTGAATATCCAGCCTAGGAGAGTTAGGAGATAACTTGGCTTAGTAAAAAATGTACTACTTTCAAAAACCAGGTAATTGCCAAGTCAATTAGATAGTGGAATTATCACAACCATGGAAATTTGTTAAGAGCTCATTTATAAATTTTAAAATAGGAAGAACATTGTTTATCCTGAGATCACTCTCTCCGCTGATGGGAAACATTGAAATCAAGGTTAAAATTCAGAAAAGGAGTATTTATGCACCCATTATCAACAGCTATTTTTTTATGAAAGGCAAGTAAAGCAAACAGAATCAACTTCTTAAAATAGTTTCCACTTGATTAAAGTTCAGGGTGATATTTAAAAAATTATACAGCACTCAATGGTTCCTTTTCACTCTCATTTAGATTTTTTCCTCATTTAGTGGTACCAGTGACTTGGCTAACATATTTGTTCTTTTACAGAAATTTGGACAATTCCCCTGGAGCTTTATTCCAAAGGTTAGTATGATTGTCCCTTATTTTGTATCTATAGTTCAACTTGCTTATAATACTAAGACTCATAGTGTTTATACCTTAATTTAAACGACGTTTAGATT